AATACAATATAGTTCAAAACAGGAAATTTAAAAAGATTATGTAAATTCTGTAGTTGTATTCCTAAAGACAGAAGCTGAAATTTTTTCCTACTTCTCCTTGTATCACTTCCCTTTTCCTTCACTTTCACTTCCCTGGAATTGTACTTCCCAATAAACTATTAGCAGTGAACTTCATCTCATGATCTGTTTTATAGAGCACTTCACCTGAGACGAGTACCAGCTGGTAATTGATTATATTGGCTATTCAACCCTACAGGTTTATTTAAAAAGAACTTAAATAGGCTTTTTAGGGTGAAAGAGGTCAGTCTCAGCCATTTCTGTTTCCTGATATAGCTTTTAAGTCTTTCCTTATTAGCAATGAAAGGCCATTCCATTGTAATTTTTTGATAACCATTTTTCTTTCTGTGTGTCAAATGCAGACATAAGATACTGAACTGAGTCTATTTCACTGTTCGTAAAACAATCTCATTTGGGGAAAAAAAAAGGTCTACAGATATTCCAGGGATAGGGTGTAGTAGAGAGAGAATAAAAGGTATTTTATTACTATATCTCTATATCCTACCCTGTAGGATCTCTTATTAAGCATACAGGCATATACCAAAATCAAGACATTTTTCTCATTTATTTTATTGCCCTAACATATTCTGGGTTAATATAATATCGTAATAAAAATTTGAGGAAAAAATTGATTTTTTTCAAAAGTGTTTAACATTTGTTATATTGGAAGATTTTTTTTTTCTTGTTTGTGGTAAAAATAAATAGAAGGTGCATTTCATATCTTCAAGTATGATTACATTTTGAAAACAAGTCATTAATACTCATAAAATGCAAATTTTAATGTTCTTTTTTGTTACAGCCAAACTATAATTAGGCACAGTTATAAATTGGAGTTGAAATTTAGTAAGATATTTCTTTATAGATAACACTTAATGGTTTTAGAGATGGGCTATGAAACAGTAAATATACAGGTATAGGGATAAAATTGTGTCTGACGGTCATATGAAGTGTTTGTTGTTATATTCTCTCTTGGGATAGCTGCCAAATATTTTAGTATGCTTAAAATCTGTGAATGTTATGGAGTCAACAAATTGAGATCACATATCATATTCAGAAAAGCATAGTTAGAGAAATAACCATTGAAATGAGCATACAGCAATCTTCCTTTATCTGCAGGGATACATTCTGAAAGCCCCACTTGGACACGTGAAATTGCGGATAGCAGCAAACCCTACATATACTGTTTTTTCCAATGCTTACATACCTATGAAAAAGTTTAATTTATAAACTAGGCGCAGTAAGAAATTAGCAACAGTAACTAATAACAAAAGAGAACAATTATAATAAGAATAAAAGTTATTTGGATATGGTCTTGCTTTCTCTTTCCCTCTCTCTCTCAAAATATCTTAGTATTTTGGGTCTGCAGTTGATGGTGGGTAACTGAAACCATGGAAAACAAAACCACGGATAAAAGGAGACTACTGTGTATACTTTTTAAAACTGAGGAAATATTAAACTCATGTTTCTTCTATATCCCACCAGTTTCCCCCCACCCAAACCTAGATAGATATCTTATTTGATCTGTAAACAATTAATTTGTAAAAGTTAAGAACTTTTTAAAGTAAAACTGTAATATATCTTCACACCTAAAGAAATAAACAATAATTCTTAAAAATCCAGTCAGTGTTCAAATTTCCCCAACTACCTCATACGTGTTTTCCATTTGCTTATGTTGGGATCCCAAAACGAATGAAATAAAGTTCTTAGGTTGCAATTGGCTAATTCTCTCTCACTTCTACTTTAATCTGTAGGTTCCCACTAACTTCTTTTTTGTTGCAATTTACTTGGTGAAATTAGATGTATTATTTGTCTTGTGTAGTTTTTCACAGTGCAAAATTTGCTGATTGTAGCTAGTGATGTGAACAGTGAACATGTTTTTCGCCCCTTATATTTGCTGTAAGTTGTCAGTGATAGTTAAATGTGAATCAAATTCAAATTTGGATCATGTAGGACTTTTCTTTTCTTTTCTTTTCTTTTTTTTTCTTTTTTTTCTTTTTGAGACGGAGTCTCGCTCTGTCGCCAGGCTAGAGTGCAATGGTGTGATCTGGGTTCACTGTGATCTCCGCCTCCTGGGTTCAAGTGATTCCCCTGACTCAGGTTCCTGAGGAGCTGGGATTACAGGCGCGCCACCACACCCAGCTAATTTTTTGTATTTTAGTAGAGATGGGGTTTCACCATGTTGGCCAGGATACTATTGATCTCCTGACCTCGCGGATCAGGTAGGACTTCAATCGTTGAACAAACGAACTTTTAACAGCGGTTACACCATTAGGATGT